TTCTGTTATTATTAAATGCAGCTATCGTTTGTTTGTTTTTTTGCATGTTAGCATGCTAGTTAACATTTGTGTCAGTCAGCTGTTGGCTCTCACGCTGGCCAATAGAATCTTCCTGCCTATTCGTGGCAGCCAGCTATTGGCTCTCACTCTGTCCAGTAGAAGATGGCCGCAAATTACATGAAAACTGCCGTAGGAGCATGAAAAATCGATTATTTCCACTATCGATTGGAGTTGGGAAATGCAAGGTCGGTCTTGGCCTTTACGCTAACTTGGAGCATGTGCATGTAAATATTGGTGCAAATCCGTCAAAAATTGCGGCCGTGCATTTGTTACACACACACACACAGACATCCTACATTTTATAGATAGAGATACAGAGAGAGAGAGAGAGAGAGGGAGAGAGAGAGAGAGGAGAGAGAGACGTTAGTCATTCATATTTAGACTTTTCATTGTCTTGGCCATTCAAGCGTCTTACATATGTAAATGTCAATTATTTACATTATTCAGACTATTGTCCTCATCTTTGTCGCCATATTTATTGCAATGTTTCGGCCGTTGTACTCTCCGTCCTTCTTCAGGTGGTTGGAATGTTGAACAAAAAACTTTATTTCGCTCACTGGGGAAGACTGTCCTAGTTCCACGTGCCATGTTTAATGGATGTCAGTTATCAGTTATCTCCTATTAATTTCCCTCTGAAAGTTCTCCATACCAAGTATTGAACTCACACTCTTTTGGGTCCTGTCACTGGACCTAACCAACGCCTTTATCCACTGTGCCATGTGTCCTTGAGGACCACCTGAAAAATGCCGGCCAAAACGATGTAATAAATATGGCGACGAAGATGAGGACAATAGTCCCAATAATGTAAATAATGTACATAATACCTCATCTCAGAAATATAGACAGGTAAATGTCAATGTTGCGCCATTCCTAATTTTCCCAGATTTGATTCAAGCTTATTTGTAAAAATCTCCTATAAAGAAGATAGACCTAGTGTTAATCTAGATTATTTAGATCTATTCTGTAATCTTCCAGTAGGACGGATGCTATGTTCTCACCAAAAAGAGATGCTCTGACATACTGATATTTGATCAGATTTTCGATTAGTGGTTTGCATCGAGATCATTTCTTCTGCCCCTGTGCATGTCATTGTCATTTTCATCTAGGTTTTATTTTGTTTTTCACTGTAGACTGCAGGTTCTTTATTTTGTGTAAAAATGACATTATTGCATTATCTTATCGGAATTAAATTTGGATCCTGGAAGGCAATCTTTTATGGAAAATCTTTCTGCTATTTTTAGCATTTTGTCATTGATCATGTTACATAAGTTTGCCAAAAGCCACCAACCAAAAATGTAACGAGATCATGGAAACACTGCCATCGCTATTGACAGTTCTTGACCTAAAGTCGGGATTGAACGTTTCATTCGGACAAAACCACAGCGTTCAGTAACGTCGATCAAAAGTTCACATCCGGATTCCTCACTCTGCCGAATCGGAATCAAAGCTCTTAGACTCGACCGAAAATACAGTTAGTTGTTAATTCTTTTATTCGACAACTACATTTCCGACCAAATTAAATCAGTTCCTACATGTCTTCCTTTGATGAACCTTTTAACCTCATATTCCACGAAACTTTTATTCTCTTTGCTTTCTGTTATGGTTAACTGCATATATTTATATATTTTGTATATTAGCAACCTCTCATTTTTGCTTGTGTTAACTCTAGAGTAGAAATAGTGAGTGATCATTTCTACTGAGGTCAAAACACAACTCATATTTTTAGTATGCTTTACACTAAATTAGTACTTATATCATGTTTCAATTATTATCGGCTGAATAAATGCGTGGAAAAACCCACAATTAATATGAAATATCTACTAGACATAAATAACATTGATAAACATGATATCATCACTATTTACATTATTCGGACTATTGCTCGTGTCAGACCTCCGAAATACAAAATAATATCAGGTAGGGGTGACAAGACCTTCAGACCACCCTGTACAAAATACCTCACGACGACAGTACGAGTCGTACTGTCAGCGTGAGATATTATATACTACGTTTACGAATTTCCAACTGGTGTTCTATGATCTCAACCTGATCGTAAACTTAAGGAATCAGCACATATGCTAGGCCTGAGTTGACTAAGCATAGAAATGAATTCAATAGGGAAGGAGTGCCAGAGAAAAGCGATAATACCAACAAAGATTACACTATGAGCTCTGGTAAAAACATGATGTTAACAGCAAAAATTGCAATATAAACACTGGTAAACAGCCGGTTGCTGAAAACATTAGGTTTGTAATACCCAGAATTTCAAACACAGATGTTCTCAAGGACATATGGCACAATGGATAAAGGCGTTGGTTAGATCCAGTGACATGGTATGTGGTACTAGAACAGTCTACCCCGAAATAAAGGGTTCAGTTCGACATTTCAACCACCTGAAAAAGGAAGGAGCCTAATTTGTCAAACGTAAATAATAAAACGTAATAAATATGACGACAAAGATGAGGACAATAGTCCGAATAATGTAAATAGTGTGCATAATACCTCATCTCAGAAATATAGACAGATACTGAAAGATGAAACGTTGTAATAAATATGGCGACAAAGATGAGGAGACTAGTCCGAATAATGTAAACAGTGTAAATAATACCTCATCTCTGAAATATAGACAGATGATATCATCAAATGAAAATATTTCAGGATTATATTTTTCTTAATAGGTCTATTAGATGAAAAGAGTTTAAAATTAAAATGAATAAAATACTAATTGAACATCAATAATGGTTGGAAATGTTTCATGTAATCGAAACAATTCCAGATAATATTTATACAAATAAGACTACAAGAAGAAAGGCCTCCAAAATTAAATTAAAAGAAATATGAATCAAAAATGAATAATAGTTGACAATGCCTCATCGAATAGAATAAAAATGCAGATAATATTTTTACAAATAATAATGAACAAGTCACTAAAAATAAAATGAAAGAAATTCTCGTAAAAAAGATTATAATAGTTGAAAATACTTAAGTAAACACATTTCCAGATACTAGGAGATGAAAAACCTTCTAAAATTAACAGGAAAGAAATACTAGTCACAAATTAATGATGGGTGACAATGCTTTATCTAATCAAGACAATTTCAGTTAACACTCCTACAAACAATAAAAGCCGCGTCATGGTGGCATTTCAGCAAGGCTCTATTCTTGGACACGTTCTGTTCCTTATTTTCATCAGAGATCTTGCACATGCCTTCCATATATCACATATTTCAATATATCTTCCAGGTGCAATTTGTTCACGGTTTACTATCTATGCTGATTACATGACTATTCGGTTTTAATATTAAAAGAAGAATCAGCAATATTTTTGGTCCTGACCTGTTGGATCGGCTTCAGACACTTACCCACCCCCGTACGGTTGCCTCTCTGTACCATCGTTATAAATACTTTGAGATAATTGTTCGGATGAGATCTTCGATATGGTACATAGACTATGAATTTAAGCGCAGTATTATATTGGCGTCTAGATTTCATCAATTTACAGTTGAGCTGGCAAGAAAACAGTTTCGTATCTCGCAATTCTCGCTTGGAGAAGTCCCTTCCAACTCCATGATTTCCAGCCAACTTTAATCTTCAAAAACTGAAATGCAATGCCAATCACTATCTACTGCCGTCCTGATATCTATTCTCTTTCTGTTTATTAATAATGCTTTTGTTCTTAATTCTTCCACACCATGTAACCCCTTGCGTTTTAATGGCCTTAGTGCCTTGCTTGGGGTGACACTGATTAAAAAAATAAATAAAAGGATGATTTTAATTATTTATTTTACATATGTGATTTATTTCGCCAAAATTGAAAATCTAACATGTGCAAAGATTTGTGACATCCGACTCTGTATTGGTGAATCAAGTAGGTAATAAATTCAGTTGAAACATATCTTGGTGCTTAATTATTCAATTTACGTTGGTTAATGGTAGGAGGCATCCTTAGTAACTTGATTGGGCAACAGAGATTAAATAGAGGGGAAACCTATGTAATCTACTGTAATTCCTCACAGATCAACGACAGGAAATGAGATATCTGATGACTTCAGGAGAAAGTTACTGACTTTTCACCAGTCTGGGGAAAGCTGTAAGACTATCTTAAAAAGATTGCAGCTCCATCCATCCACTGTTAGACAAATAATTTACAAAAGGAGGGAATTCAACATGACCTTAAATCTTTATACAAGTGAACGCTCATCAAACCAATCACAAATAAACACTAGAAAAATAACCGAGGTAAAGACCAACCCACGCATCGTCTCAAGAGAGTTGCAGACCAATCTGGCAGACGAAAATTGAATGGACATAGAATTTATTCAAGAGCTACGAGAAGGGAAACTCTGCTCCTAACGAAGATCAAAGTTTCCCGCTTAAACACTTTTATAAACCATTCATTCTGGAAATCCATTCTCTGGACAGATGAATCGAAGATAGAATTGTTTGTTCACAATCAAAATTGCAATGTTTGAAGAAAAGCCAACACTGCCTACCGAGCAAAGAACTTCATTCCAACAGTGAAGAATTGGTGATCGAAATGCTAAGATCTGTGACTTCATTCGCCTCTGGACTTGAACTGTACTGTACTGTACTGTACTGTACTGATGCGGCATTCACCCTGGGCGGATTGAGCCGGCTTCTTCCTGTTATGAGAAGAAGATTCTTGGGATAAATTACAGAAGTAGGGTACCCAGTCCTACTCGAATAACGTTCTTGCTTGCCGCGGGATTCCCACAGACGCAGAGACAGGAACGACCAGAAGCCGCCGGTTACCGATGCAGACGCTCCTTGGATTTTCACCAGAGCCCTTGTTAGCCGGCATGTGTGTCAGACCTGTCCGCCTTGGGTGGCCCTACCAGGAACGAAGTTCCGGGAGGCATAGCTCTGACACTACCGTTTACACCCCCCATCGACTGTGAGGTAAGGGTTGGACTTTGGGGGCTTACAGTACCAGGTGTTCCCAAGCGGTCCCCCATCTAAGTACTGACCTGGCTCTACGATGCTTAACTTCGAGAACCGGTGTTTCAGCGTGATTTAACCGTAAGCTCTGGACCTGAACGACTCCATATTATCCAATAAAATATGAATTCTCAATCTTGTCAAATAATTCTGGATCAGAATCTCCTACCATCAGTCCGGGAGTTGAAGCCTGGACGAAAATGGGTTCTGCAAGAAGACAATGACCCTATCCATACCAACAAAAAATACCAAGGAATGACTTAAAAGGAAGAGGATTTCCTACCCACGATTGGCCTAGTCAAAATCATGATCTCAATGTAATAATAACGTTGTGGTTACATCTGAAGCCGGTAATTCAGGCCAAATAGTTTTGCAAGGTGGAATAGACAAAACTCCTCGACAGCAAATGCGAGAATCTGGTCAGAGGCTACAGTTTGGTTGAAGTAAATGCTGCAAACGGAGATTCCAAAAGGCACTAACTAAAAGGGTTCACATATTTTTACAAATGTTAAGTTTTCAGTTTTGGTAAAATAAATCTCTTGTTTAAAATACATAATTTAAATACATCTTTTTTTGGGCTAATTGTTTGGAAAGTCTATTTTACAAATTGGTGTTTTCATGCACATTTAATAAGATTATTTTAAATTTGTTCACAATAAAAATGCCCGTCTGTGTGGGGTCACATATTTTCTAAAGGCACTGTCGAAAACGTTTCAAAGATTGCTTTTAGCGTTCACACTGTCTATATACTCGAATTGGACTAAAGAATGAATCAACAGAGTTAATGTAAAACGTGAGGAGAGAAAGAGATATTATATTGACTCAGCTGCGACTCAATTGTTTCACTGCTAATCCGAATTTGCACCATTACGTTAGATCACGATATATGTGCAATAGTATGTCACTGCACGTGTATCGTAATTTAAATGTTACCGTATACAGGAGGACTTGAGATCTATCTTGTCTCGTCTGATCAAGCATAAGAAGTTATATCTTATCATAAAACATAGGAGAAAAACATTCGCAGAATAAATTTATTTTTCAGGGGTATAATAATGCTTTTAAGAAAACTTTTCTGGTTTCAAGAGCCATTGCATACCACATGAATGCATAGATAAATTGTGCACAAAACTGGCTCTCCTGCCATGGAGCCGATGGCTGCTATATATGCCTATATATATGCCCCTGTGTGCTAATAATGAGCTGCTTTTACATACACATTTCGTGTATGACATGTGTTCGATTACGATTATCGCAATTTATTTACAGGTTACATCCAAATATTCTCAGCAATATCAAACTTAAATAGTCAACTCTGTGAATTATCATTATTTTAATATCCCTTCTTTCGTTTTGTGCATCAATTTTGGAGTCTGACAGACGAGTTAGGTATGGAAATACTACAGGCAGGCATCGAATTTAACGCCCATCACTAGCATTAATCTAAGAAGAGTTGGTTTGTTCTGACACGAATATTCAATGACACGATGTCATCTCCGATATTCAAAATGTCTAGGAGCTTAGAACGTCAACCTATGATAAGGTACCCTCGAAACCACCAAGTGTAAAATCGGCCCTCGTCTGATGTCGGTGTGTCACCCAATATAAACAAAGAAAGTTATCCAAATAAACGTAGGATATATACATGCAGAAGCCAGTCAGATATCAGAAGGATATATAAAAACCTGGACTAATACGGAAAGCAGACTCTCACGACCCGTCACAAGATAAAGATCGAACATTTGAAGAAAGACAGGAAAGCACATACCCTCGATTCGAACGACTTTAATTTGACATAAACGAGAAGTGAATAGACAATTATTTTACTAATGGAAAATTTCCTCTTCTTTATCAGACATTATCATAACATGAGAATTACAACGCAAAATTAAATGTTAGACATTATTTATTGCAGAAAAGTGTTTTTGTTTAGGTGAAGGTTTATAATTTATTATCAATTAAAATATAGAATTATATTCATTTGGTGTTTTTGGCAAATAAAATTTCCATTTTATTATGACATACCATCTTTCATCATTTATATATATATATATATATATATATATATATATATATATTATTATTATTATTATTATTATTATTATTATTATTATTATTACACCAAATATTATTTTGCAGTAGACATCCTGTTTTTTAAACAGTATGAATTATGACCACTATTCAGCGATTTTGATTGAACTAGTGACCTAATGAAACAGTGCGCTCTCTAAAAGGGGTTAGTACCTGCATCCTACGAAAAATCTTACCAAATAACAGAAACTAAATCACTAGGGGTCTTTCAGCAGCATCGACCAATAAAATGAATAGCACATGTAAATCAAAGAGAAAATATCAACTCAATGTCGTTACTGTCATTCAAACAAAAACAACAACAACAAAAAAAGACGTAATCCCTCATCAATACAGGAAAAAGCGATAAATTACTGCACACGAGGAAGCATATTTTCCTGATACATGGTTTTATTAGAAGGGTTTTATAAATTTCAACAGACAGCAGCAAAAGTTGTTCGGTTAAAGAATGCAAAATGATCCCTTATAAAGAAAAGACTAGGATACAAGTCTTACTAATTAACCCATATCTGGGGGAAGACGATGTGGAGTCATACCTAATCAGAATATGAAAAAAGAAAAATGAAATTATAATGTGGATATTTTAGATTGTAAGATTTTGAGGGAAGAGATAATCATTTACTGGTACAAGTCTTACTAATTAACCGATAGTTGGGGGAAGAAGTGGTCGATTCATACCTAATCAGAATTTATTAAACAAAGAAGAAATTATAATGTGGATAGTTTAGATTGTAGGATATTTTGTACGCGGGGGTGGGGAGATAATCATTTACTAATTAGGAAACGAAATGGATTCATAAATTATGAAATGATTATTTGCGCGTAAATATAACGGACCCAACTAGAATTCGAACTCGACACTCCGATTAACAATTCCATTATCTATTACTCTACCTGCATATCTAAGCTTAAAGCAACTGGTATTTCCAAACAGTCACCAATTCTATGTATATCCAGGCTGGCGTTGCTTAACGTCGATGATCGTACGGTAATCAGTGATTGAACGTGATGTGAGCGTAATCTATAAGGACAGGAAGCCTGATATTTAAATAGAAAGGAAATAAACGAAGATGAAAATAAATGAGAAAAAGAAAGAATAAAGAAGACTGCAAAAAAAGAAGTTAACGTTAATTAGAGACGTGAAGAAATGGAGTCAAGATCTAAAAGAAATAATGGAATGCACAAAATATGAGACTAAATGGAAACGAAATTGGAAAGAATGCCAAATAAAGTGACCATCTGTTGAATTCTCCACTCGCCGACGATGAGTGTCTGGCGCCAGGAGACCCTTTCCGGTAAGATTCTCGACATTGGTTCCGCGTCAAACGGAGGCGGTTCCATCTTTTACCAACATGTGTTCGCCTCAGGGAATTCGGCCAGAGATAGCAATGAAACAAACAACATTGGAATCTGAAAGACTTCAAAACAACGCTATGGTTGATAGTAACACTTGCAAGTATAGTTCACTAGTAAGAGAAAAGAGGACTTACTTGAAAAACTCTGACAGTAGCAATTTATTGGTCAGTGGCCTCTTGAGAATAAATAGTGAATAGACTTACAGTGTTTGGAAATAAGCCACAAATAAAGAGCAACAAGTCTACATCAGATTGAATAGTTAGTATTCCGGTTCTGCTAGAATTATATATATATATATATATATATATATATATATATATATATATATATATACGCAGTGGGGGAAAACAAATATTCGTATATATGCAATTTTAATGTGTTGTATTTTAAACTAATGCATAAACATTTTCGTATAATTAACTGTGGACAAATGCATGATAATTAATTAAATATGCATAGAAAGAAAAAATTGATTTAATAGAAATAAATCATATTTATCCATTTAAATGGGTGACAAAATTGTTCCATATAATGCAAATTTCAGATTTTTAAACTTTTAAATTGATTTAATACTCTAGAATATTCCACTTGAAACCACTATAATAATAATAATAATAATAATAATAATATCCAACATCAATAAAGTAAATTAAATAGACTGAATACTATAATTTATAATAATATAATTTCTTTATTTTTTATATTATTTATTTTATTTATTTTACTTCAATTTATTGATTTTAGATATTATTATTATTATTATTATTATTAATTTGAAATTGTGATGATTTTTATTATGAGATGATAATATTTGCTGTTTAAAATAACATGACTATTAGACATGTGACTGTAACTCTTTTCATTCTGATCTTTCCACTTCTCTTACGCAGTAAATTAACTTATTCAGACCTTTAAGGTCAACCTATCGGTTCATCTTTAATTCTTCCTTTTTTCCTTTCTTTTCTTTCCGTTCCCCCTCTCCCCCTTCTATCTTTTCTCGCTTTCTTTCTGACTAAATTCTTTTAAAAAAATTTATATTGAATTTTTTCTTTTTCCTACTTTCCTTTTTATTATAAAAAAAAAAATTCTTTTTCTTTTTTCCTCTTCGTTTTTTTTTCTTTTTGTCTGGACAAATTGATTTCATTTTTAAAAAAAAAAACAAAATAACTTTGGCCTGAACAGATAATTATTTCAATATATTCATGAAATAAATTATGGCCGAGATGGATTTTGAAGGTTTTCAGACTTATATATATATATATTTGTTTGTAAAAATTGAGGGACAGTGTGCAAAACTTTGATATAAGGCGCACAGAAGTAAAATCCCATTCACACGCAAAAAGCCTCCGTGCTGACAAACAACAAGTATATCCCCTTCTTTTCATTTTTCTTCAAACTACCATCTTAGCGAAAGAAGTGAAGAAAAGTAGTTACGCAAATAAACAGATACTGCAAAGAAAGAAAGAAAGAAAGAATGAATGCAAGAAAGAAAGAAAGAATGAATGAGAGAGAGAGAGAGATTGAGAGAGAGAGAGACATGGGCAAATAGAAAGCGATAGAGAGAGGAGATAAATATATGCCAGACAAAACTTAGCAGAGGGTTATATTTTTTTTCAGCTTGAATTAAAATTCACATAAAGTTATTTTTGTTCGATGTGTCATGGATTGTGGGATCAATTATCACTAATGATGAAGTTCTAATCTCTCAGCAAATTTGACTCTCAAGGACACCAAAAGCGTGTCACAAGAGCGTGCGTACAATTTGACGACACGGGTACAATAATAGTATATATATATATATATATATATATATATATATATATATATATATATATATATATTTAAATGATACTTGGGAGATTGTATCTGCAACAGCGAAAAATAATATATATGTTGGTCATACTACTACTACGTTGTCTGGACAGTTGGGTTTTTATATGAAAGATGCTTCAAACATACCACAACATTTACAACACCATATCTGTCCACATTCGCACTTTAGAAAAATTCTTCTTGAAAATACATCTATAATTTTTCATGAAAATAATAAACAGAAACTAAAAATTCCTGAAGCTATCATAAAAAAATGAAACCAGCCCTTACTAAAATTAATTATAAATACTGAACAAATGTCTTAGAATGTTTACAGTACATAGTTTAAAATATCTATGTTTTAATTTATAGTTTTAAATAGTTTTATAAGTGGGATTTGATGTTAACAAACAGCGGCGATTGTCTGTTGCATGCTTAACGCAATCTTTAAGCCACGTCTCTTTGTCTTTTGGGTATATGCTGGTGAATGGTTCATTATGAGTAGGTAATGTATTGTTCCAACGGGTTTTCGATATACCGTCAGGCTTACTTTTAATTGGTAGCGTTTTTTATTTTTATATTCTCAGCCACAACTGCAAGGATTCAAGTACACGCAATTCTTTCTCGCCCTTTATAAATTTTACTTGGTGTGGTAGACTTTAATTGCACTTCGAGATCGGAAGCATACTCTCATGTAATTTCACAGTTGAAATGGCTTCATTTAACTGTAAGTTCTATGCTAACACTGTCTTCTATAGCAATCATTGCTTGTAGAATTGTCTTCCGGCTTCTTGTTTCCCAGTCAACTTTTATCTTCAAAAACTTTAAATGTAATGATAATTGTTATTTTCTTAATTCTTAATTATTGTTCTTTTGTCATCTCTTCTCAAAAGTGTTTTGTTTCTCATATTCCCTTACGCTCAGCAACGACAGGCGTTATAGTGGCTTTATTGCCTTAATTGCGGTGAAATTAATAAAAAAAGAGTTAAATTAGCATTTTGTGCTACATTACTTAGTGTTAAAGATATAGGTGTATAGGTAAACGCATATAATGCAAGACGGTTTTCTGAATGGATCAATTTAAGGGGATATAACATACAGGTCCGAAGTTAAAAAACAATAATGACCTATTATATACACACACACACACACACACACACACACACACACACACACACACACATATATATATATATATATATATATATATCCTTTGGTGTAAATAAAAGAGTGCCCAATGCAAAATAACAGAGCTATTAAGAATATATTAATAAATATACATAATATCTCACGCCGACAGTAGGAGCCGTAATGTCGGCGTGAAGTATTATGTACAGGGTGGTCTGAAGGTCTTGTCACCCCTACCTGATATCATTTTGTATTTTGGAGGGCTGGCACGATCTCCTACAGCTTGGAATTGTATGGGCACTTTATCGTCTAAGTTCTGGCAAGAGCATGGAGGATGTGCGACATGGCTTCACTGCAAGATATGGCAAAGCATCTCCTCCGAAGAAGACGATTTTGCGGTGGTAAAATAAACCGTTTATCACAGGACAAAACGAGGACAGGACGACCCTCAACGCGAAGGGACACATGTATTGATGTGGAGGCATCTGTGCTATGGATCACCCAACAAGTCACTACAAAAATGGTCGTGTATTATTCTCATTACTTTTTGGTAGGTGTTGGCAAGACTTTTCGATTTATATATATAATTAATCTCTTGAAATCATATTAGATTGAGCACTGATGAAAGCAGCCTAATTCTACAAACAGCAGCCGCCTCCGCTGAAACCCAAAGCTCTTCAGTATAATGAATACGAGCACTCTGGCTTCCTGGCGTTTGTTTACATTCGTATATATATATATATATATATATATATATATATATATATATATATATATATATATATATATAATAGTAGCAATGAGGAGTGGGGTGCAGTGAAAAAGTGCGGTTTGCGAATGACATAATTAAGCTCTTGATAATATATTTCAGTTATGCACCCTTGAGAGAGAGCTTAATTCTACAAACAGCAGCCGCCTACTTTAAATCGCAAAGCTCTTCCGTAAAAAGAATATGAGCACTCTGGCTGACTGGCATTTGTTTACATTCGTAAAAACAATACGCTAGAATGAGCAGTTTCTCTCAGATGAGTGCTGATGTCTTAGGGGTAGAAATTCCGACTGACACCAAATCGGTTGCGTTTCGGTCCTGGTTTGGGGATTTTGAACCTCTAGTCGCACTGAGAAGCTGTGATACAACTAAACACTACTGTCTGCGAATGACATCACACACACACACACACACATATATATATATATATATATATGTGTGTGTGTGTGTGTGTGTGTGTGTGTGGATGTTTAGCAGCTCAGAACGTGAATTTGAATTCTAGTTTGTTACTTTAACGTCCGCTTTGATATACTTTGCAAAGATGGGAATACGTATCAGTAACTCTTCCACGGACTTGCGATTTAAAAAGCTGGCTCTCAGCTTTTATTAGCAACCAATCTAGGAAAATGATAAATCTGAATTGGTACATGTTGGAGCAGTTATTGGTATTCAGTTCTTCTAAAAAGTGTGATTGGTTCTTCATAAGCCTTTACCACCATAATAAAATCATATGTTGGATTCTCATGCGTCGAAAACAATATGAGGGGCTTACCATATATGTAAAAAAAAAAAAAACGATGTCAAAATTATGGATTTTGTTACTTATTTAATTCTAAATACTGAACAGTTTACAGTAGGATAATATGTTGAGATTAATTCGTTTCACATGTGTGAAAATCTTGTACGCTTTTGATATTTATTACTAAATCTGTATATTTTATGCGTAGTTTAATTTAATTATAAACGGTTTAAGTATAGAGCAACACTGGCTGCAATTAGTGAAGCCGTTTAAATTCCTATTATGACACTAAGTAGAGCCACTTAAGTTGAATAATATTCCCAGCTGTTGTCACACTGTGAAAATACATACTGATTATATCAGAAAAGAAAAGGAAACTCAATATCCTGAATAGAAAGCTGAAACAAAAATTAATTGAGTAAGAAGTAAAAAGCCTCACACAGATTTATCGTTGTTGGCTGAAATTATTTAGAAAAATAACGAAAACGGCATCAGCCTACAGCAAATATATCTCAACACTGTAAGAAAATGGAGAAAATAGCTATCGTCACCTTCAAAGAACAACACGGGTTAGTAAATAAACGAACAGAACTTATCGCAAAATTCAGAGAGGTGAAGTTAAACTCGAAATCTAAAAACGAGTGACTTGTACAATACCATAATGAAAAAATGCAAATAAATGCACTATATACAACGCAGATAAAGTAACGTAGCCGATACTTTAAATTATGCAAATACGAAAACAAACCTTTGTAGAAGATTGTGGGTGTAGATGTGAAGAAAACACGTGCGTTTATATTTCCTGCTAGAAGGCCCAGCGACAATATGAAAATGTCGGACTCGGATTAAGTCCAACTGAAGATAAGGAAGACAAACAAACAAGACTGATATATATTAAAACGAATATATGTAACAACAGCACATTACAAAGCACATAGTTAACATTGTTTGTGTGTGAACATGTGTTTGTGTGTGTGTGTGTGTGTGTGAAAACATTCGTATTTTGGTGAATGTTATTTTGGAGAAGTTCGCAAGTGATCGTATTGTGGTGAATGTTTGTAATGTTCATAGCGTTTTCCCAGAAATGGCAAACGCTGATCTCCTAAGTGCTTACATCTTGTCGCTGAAATGAAGAAGAAAGAGAGATTTAACTCACCTCCAAGCGAGGTGGGATTCGGCACGATGCATGAAAACAAGAAGAGAAAGAGACAAGGGGTCGCCCGATATTTATAGCATGGGGAGAGAGACCCCTGGTGAAGAATTTGGAAATTAAAGAGGAGGTAACTCCGACACCTTCATTACAAATTTTAAATAAATAAAGTGAATAACGAAGTTAAGAACAAACAAATTAACAGACTGCGAATGCAAACATAAACACGAATAAACGTAATAATAATAACCAAATCAATAATGAATAATGAGTTTAAAAGTTAATAAACATCACCATAAAATACCTACAAATAAGCACATTTGAATCCACAATTATTTCTACGCAGCAGCCTCTAGAATGATTTGAAATATAAGGCTTGCCGTCCACCCAGTGAATGTTAGGCTAATACAACAGACCTTGCTACCCATAATGCACCATTAACAAACACGTATAAATAGTGGAGTCGATGCACCACACAAATGGCCTGAGGATTGCTTTAAAGCATGAACTGTTACAACTCGATGTTTACCTGGATTTGCACTTTTACAGACACACAAACACACACAAATACACACACACAAACACACACACACAAATACACACACATACGCACACACACACACAAAAACACACACACACAAACACACACATATTTGATTTGAGATCAAAGATGGATCGGAGACGTCAGAATGTCAAGATGAAGAATTCTCAGATAAAAATAATGAATTTAAATTTAATAAAAGGAAAATGTTTTTGATTGATACACGTTTACAATTTGTTCTTCATGTTACCATACGCCCCATATATATATATATATATATATATATATATATATGTGTGTGTGTGTGTGTGTTACAGCGTTTTTTTACAATATACTATCTTATATTTTATATTGTATTTTAGATTTAAATATATATATACACACACACATATATATACAC